ACAGCAGAGTCATAAATGAAATGCCGAACAGTTTGATCTGATCCCCCTACCTCTACTACTGTGTTCTGCTAAGGGCTAGGGCCTATACTTGAGTGTGAAGAGACTGTTGGCTTGCTAGGGGACCTTTGTCCTGCATCTTCTGGCTAGTTACTGACCTCATGGTGATACTAGGAGCATTAAGTCAAATAACTTACAGAAATATATTTGTGGACTTGTGACTATCACTACTGGAAGCTATTGCTTTTGTTCCCTCCCTCCCTCCCCCCCTCCCTTCTTCCCTCCCCCCTTCTTTTTGGTTCTTCAAGACAGGATTTCTCTGTGTGGCTTTTGAAACCTACCCTGGAACTGCCTCTGCTCCCGATTGCTGGGATTAAAGATGTACACCACTATTCCCCAGCTAGAAGCAGTTTCTTATCATTTTTGCCTGTTCACATATTATATACAGGTGACATCTTTTTGGTTTTTTGGTATAGTTGTGTCTATTACAGTATATTTTACAGTGATTTAGTTAAAAAAACCTTAAGTATTTTAGAGTATATATTACCATATAAGTAACATATAAGTGGGATTTACTCCTTTTATATAAGATTTAATTATGTTTTAAATTATGTTTATGCATGTGTGTCTGTGTCAGGTGTGTGCACGTGAGTGCTGATACCCATAGAGACCAGAGTCATGGGATTCCCTGGAACTGGAGTTATAGGAAGTTGTGAACCACCCAACTTGGGTGCTGGGAACTGAACCTGGTTCCTCTGCAAGTGCAGTAAACCCTCTTAACATGTGTACCATCTTCCAGCCCTGAGGCTCATACCTATTTGTAAAGTGGGGATGATTGTTCTTTCTCCCCTACCTCCATTTCGTGAGTGCATGAGTGCACGTGTGAGTGTGTGCGCGTGCACGTGTGTAGAGGCCCAAAGTTGACATTGAGTGTCTTCCAGTTTCACTTCCTACTTTATTTATTGAGGTAGGGTCTCTCTCAGAGCCTGGAGCTTGCTGATGTGACTACTTGTTCTAACTAGCTTGCTTGTTCTAGGCCTACCCTATTTCCTGAGTGCTGACATTACAGGTGGCTGCCATGGCTACCCAGCTTTCCTTTGGGTTCTAGGGATCTGAAGTCTGGCCCTCAAACTTGCACAACAGTGTTTCTCTCTGCTCCAAGGTTCTTTCTTTAGGAATGATATATTACACTTATTAAGTCCTTTACATGCCCCATGGATTACTTATTCTTAACTGTTTAGAAAATTTCCAGACTATGATTTATTTGGAAGTGTGACCACCAGATTGTGTTTTATGAACTGCCCAAGTGTTGGATAGAAAGTACTACACAACCAGGGAGCCTCTGTCCTGGATCTCGGTTCTGTTTTCCTGGTTCTTGTCAATTGATGGTTTGTTGTGTGACTCTCGAAACATCTCCATTTTTATGATTGTTTTAGTGAAAGGTATTCTGAAGAATGAACACTTCTTGGAAATTTAGAAATGCCATAGAAAACATAGGGACTCTTTGGAAAAACTGTTTGCCTTGCCCCTGTCTTGAAACATTTATAACTTATTGTATTTAACTGTTCTGCTTCTGCAGCGATAGAGACTGTCATTTTGGATAAAACTACAATGACTCCCCTTGAATTTACTGGGTTCTATGCCTCAAATTTACTCATGCTATTTTTACTTATGGTGCTTGGTGTGGCTTCCCATGGCTCAAAGGGGTGTGTCATTTTTATCTATGAACTTTCCTTTCCTAGCAAGTCAGCAAAACTGATGGGAACCAAGGAGCTATTTCTGTCCTTAGGAGATCTCCATGACTTCTGACTTTTCTAGTTCAGCTGTGCTCGCACTTGAGTCTGTAAGCTTTATTCTGGGCAGTGACTGTCCTGGCTAAGAGCTATTTGGGCTTCCATGCCAGTGGTCCTTACTGCAGACTGGCTCTTGTTCTCTTGTCGCTGACCTGGGTTTGGCAGTGTCAGCTTGAGTTATCTGAGGGTTGGAGAGTTAAACCCTTTAGTGAGATTTTTCTTGATGTTTTCACTTCTGGAAATTCACCCGTAATAATTGTGAGGGAAAAGTACGGAACCAGGATTCGATCCTCAGCACTTTGAAAAAGCATGTGTGGTAGAACACCCTGTACCTTGGAATCCAGGAGGTCGAGGGGGTTGTAGGAGGAGTTCAGAGTTCAGAGTCATCCTTCACTACATAGTAACATTGAAGCTAGCCTAGGGAACTTTAACATCCTGTCTCCAAAACAAGCAAAGAAACAAGAACAACCGTAGGAAAAGATAGCAAGTCATTAGTTAAGAAAGCTAGCCATGGTATGTCGTGGTTATAAATCTAGCACTTTGGAAGCTGAGACAGGAGGATTGCTGCAAGTTCAAGACCAGTCTGGGCTACACAGTGAGTTATAGGCCACCCTGGGTTACAGACTGAGCTTTAGTCTTACCTTCTACCCTCATCCAATAAAAGAAAACAAAATTATTCTAGATTGTATCTTTGCTCTGGTGATATAGAGTGCTTTTCTTCTAAAAAATAAAAATAAAAAGGTTCCAAGCCTCTTGTGTTCATCATCTAGAAGTTCATCTTCAGCCAGAGGCAACGTGACAGGTCCTGTGATCAGCATACTTCCGGTCATCACTAGCAAATGAATTCATTGTTTGTCATATACCAACTGCACTGCAGTTACACTGTCAGGTACCTACTGTGCCCTTGGTTTTGTGCCCATTCAGTGTCCAGTGCTGTCTGTTGGTGAAGTCCCAGCTCTCAGTCAGAGCGCAGGTGTCTTTCTCAAGAACATATTATTATGCTGTTGCATTCCAGTTACCTTTGTCTTCCCTGTTCCTTCTAGCTGTGACAGAAGATGAACTAAGTGATAAATTGTGTGATTGGTAACAACCTAGCTTTCTTCATGAACATGTAAAGGAGTCAAGTACAGTATACCTTCGTATGCTTTTTAATCAGACTTGAGGAAACATTTCTTCTTTTAGTTTTCATATGTTGTCCAATCTTCCTTGTAGGTTGGGATCATTCTTCATTATTCTACCCTTGCCACAGTTTTGTGGGTCGGAGTCACTGCTAGAAACATCTATAAACAAGTAACTAAGAAAGCTAAGAGATGTCAGGATCCTGATGAACCACCTGCTCCACCTCGGCCGATGCTCAGGTATCTCAAGTGTTCATTAAGTACTGTGTGGAGCGAGTATGGAGTGTAAATTGGAATGCCTGATAATAAGAAATGGCGACGAATCACTGAGGTAGATGTGTGAGACAGCTTCTGTGGGATTGCCTACTGGTTGTGAGGGTCAGAAAGGTGAAGGAGTCTGGAAGGTTCCAGTCAGCTGGCTTCCCCTGCAGGTGGTGTTTCCATCAGCTGCAAAAGCTACAGGAAAAGCAGTTGTGTTGGAAGTGTGTCGGGTAAGCACTAGGGAGATTTCCCAGTGCTTAACCAGTTCATTTCCACACGCTGCTGTCCCTGAAGCCCTGATAATGAGCAAGGTCTAGGGAGAGGTTACAAGTGTAGTGATCCTGGGCTGAATCTGTTTTCAGTAGATGGCTGTGGAAGAAATGAAAGAAAATACAGACAGAGTAGGTAACTCCAGAGCTCATCAGGTTTGCTCACTCAGCCTGGAGAGTCACAGAGGGTGGGGTACTTTTGTCATTGTGTGAAAGAACTGGAGGACACTGACGTTGCTGAGAGTCTGGCAAGTCCCATCCTCCACAGTTCTTCCTACTGGGTTCTAAGAAAAGCTCCAAGCATTAAGGAAAAGCATCATGAGATCCAAACCCTAGCAACCCTGCCCCCTTGAAATGGCCAACAAGGATTCCCTCTGTTTTGGGCATGCAAGGCTGATTGGTGCTTGCTCCCCTTGCTCCAATCTTGGACTTCTTAAGGCATCTAGCATTGCTGGTACATGCAGGGGCAGCAGGTGCATCACTGTACGTGGGAGATGAGGCAGGAGACGATATGTGCTTCCGGGGGTGTGACAGAGAAGGCAGATAGTTCAGGGAAAGACAGAAGGCGAACATGTGTATAAGCGGGCGTAAGAGACAGTGAAGATGATCCAGAGATGTTAACAGGGCATTACAGGAGGGGGTCGTTAGGAAGAGCAAATGTAAAGGAAACCTGTTTTCAAGTAAATCCAGAGGGAATTAATGTGACAAGAAGAGGAGGGCCACACCTCTTGGCATGCATTTTATGTGAAAGGTGGAGAGCATAGTTCTAGACTTCCAGGGCAGCTCATGGTCAGCAAAACTGACATCATATTTAAGATATTTGTAGCTGGGTATGATGAAGAAACTTATTCCGTAAGAATGCTTCAGATAGGGTTTTTACGTAGACCATTCATGATTTGGAGCAGCCTTTCAGGAAAGGATAAATGCAGGCTGACTGTCCTGGGTGATGTCTAACTGGACAGAAAAGCCTTTTTAGGGAGTCAGAGAACTAAGAGCTGTTCTAACTACAAACAAAGCTTTCCTTGGCAGGATTATCAATGCTGTGTCTACCACAGTTCATTGAACAAAATTCATTTATGATTGTGTTTCTGTGTTTGAGTGTACATGTCAGTGTATATAGAGGTCAGAGAAGAGCTTTGAGTGTCATCCTCAAGAATAAGGCTAGACTCACTGGACAGCATACCCATACCCAGGGATCTCTGCTTCTATCTCAACAGTGTGGAAATTAGAAGTGTGTGCTGCCATGGCCAGCTTTTACATGGGTGCCAGGGATCAATTTAAGGCTCTCGTACTCAGAAAAGAGTCTCCTTTTATATGTTTTGAATGTGCTCCATGGGGAAAGAGACAGGTTTTTGTAGTCTGAAAGCTGTGGGGTCCTGACGCCCACCCTACCCTAGTTTGTGGTAGAGGTCTTAGTTGAACATGAACCAGGCTCTAATACATCACCATATTTTATGTGTGCGTATCTTGAAAGTTGCTGTGTAATAGATTTGACACTTTGGTTCCCAGCGCAATTTAATGGAAGGCACTTTCCCTGAATCCCCTATCAGCTAAAGCCTTACCTAGATCCAAGTGTTCTTCCGCCTGGCCACAGGGTGGCAGCAGCTGACCAGCTTTCCTCAGCTCAGAGCCTTTTTAAAAAAGAAACAAGAAAACAAAGCATGACAGAACAAAAACGTCACCAAAAAATGGGGGTCATTTAAAAAAGCAGTTACTGAAAGTTGTCGCAGGGTGTTACTGGGGTGAGAGTAATTAATCTTCACAGAATGACCTGTGAAGTGTTTAGATGTTGTAGTAAGTCTGTCTGCCGTATAGACAAGATAATGAGCCGCTGTCTCTCCTAGGTTCTACCTGATTGGTGGCGGGATCCCCATCATAGTGTGTGGTATTACTGCAGCAGCGAACATCAGGAACTACGGCAGCCGGCCCAGTGCACCCTAGTGAGTACCCTGTGTTCTCTGTACACCTGACCCCGCCCACTGCTTCTTGAGCAGTTTGTAGGCACCACGGTTGATGGCAAACTGCTAAGTGCTTTGTTTAAATACAGACTGTCTAAACTTGTTCCCCATGCTCTCTCCTAGTTGCTGGATGGCCTGGGAACCGTCCCTGGGAGCCTTCTATGGACCTGCCAGTTTTATTACTTTTGTAAACTGTATGTACTTCCTAAGCATATTTATTCAGTTGAAAAGGCACCCTGAGCGCAAATATGAGCTCAAAGAGCCCACAGAAGAGCAACAGAGACTGGCAGCCAACGACAATGGCGAAGTAAATCATCAGGACTCCATGTCTCTGTCTCTCGTCTCTACGTCCACATTGGAAAACGAGCACAGTTTCCAGTGTCAGCTTTTGGGGGCCAGCCTCACTTTGCTCCTGTACGTCGCCCTGTGGATGTTTGGGGCCATGGCAGTTTCTTTGTATTATCCTTTGGACCTAGTTTTTAGCTTCTTTTTCGGAGCTACCTGTTTAAGCTTCAGCGCATTCATCGTGGTACACCATTGCGTGAACAGGGAGGATGTGAGACTTGCCTGGATCATGATGTGCTGTCCCGGGCGGAGCTCATACTCAGTGCAAGTCAATGTCCAGCCCCCCAACTCGGGTGGGACTAACGGAGAGGCACCGAAGTGCACCAATAGCAGCGCGGAGTCTTCGTGCACAAACAAAAGTGCGTCCAGCTTCAAAAACTCTTCCCAGGGCTGCAAGCTAACGAACTTGCAGGCTGCTGCAGCCCAGTACCACAGCAATGCTTTACCCGTGAATGCCACACCCCAGCTTGATAACAGTCTGACAGAACACTCGATGGATAACGACATTAAGATGCACGTGGCTCCTTTAGATGTGCAGTTTCGAACAAACGCGCACCCAAACCGCCATCACAAAAACCGAAGTAAAGGACACCGGGCCAGCAGACTCACAGTCCTGCGAGAATATGCCTATGATGTCCCGACGAGCGTGGAAGGAAGCATGCAGAATGGCTTACCTAAAAGCCGGCCAGGAAACAATGAAGGACATTCGAGGAGTCGGAGAGCTTATTTAGCCTATAGAGAGAGACAGTACAACCCACCTCCACAGGATAGCAGTGATGCTTGTAGCACACTTCCTAAAAGTAGCCGAAATGTTGAAAAGCCCCTTTCAGCTAGTAGTAAGAAAGATGCCCCAAGGAAGCCAACTGCAGCCGACCTGGAAAGTCAGCAGAAATCTTATGGGCTGAACTTAGCTGTTCAGAATGGACCAGTTAAAAGCAACGGGCAGGAAGGACCCTTACTAGCTACTGATAGTACTGGTAATGTTAGGACTGGATTATGGAAACACGAAACAACCGTGTAGCATTGCAGGAGCTTCCGGCACAGAAATTGATACAAACTGTGATACTCACATTCCTTTAAGCTATGAACTCTAAGAAACAAACTGTTTACAGCCACCTTAGGGATTCAGAACAGTTCCAAATATGCTTGTGAGTTTGGGGATTTACTTATTTTATATTCCTAAATTGTCACCCCTTCCCCAAGAATTTTAAAATCCTTAAAACTATTGTTTTACTTGTCAAAGCTCCAGTAAGATATTTTGAAAGTTGAAAATCTAATTTCTTACAATCTGTTATATCTACTTAACACTTCAGGCTTGTATTTAAAGAAATAAATAGGAGTTTGTTTTTGTGCCTGTGGTTTACTTTTATATTGTAAAAAACATTGTAGGAGCTGGTACCATGGCTGCATGGGTTAAAGGTGCTCGCCTCCCAGGGTGCTGGTTTGTGAGTTGTAAACCTAGTGGCCAGAGGGTGGAAGAGAAAACTCGGTTCTCTGGCCTCCATATGTGCCTACACACACACACACACACACACACACACACACACACACACACACACACACACACAAATAAATGGAATCCACTTTAAGATCATTTTTAGCTTTATTTTAATAAAGTTTGTTTAGTGATGCCTTTTCAGGATGAATCAGGCATGAATAAATTATCAAATTTGTTGTTGGCTTAACTGTACTGATTATAACATTTATGTCTTAAGTGATTTCTGAGTTGATGTTTCATGAATACAGTTTTAAAGGTTACAAGGGTTTAAAAGACCTCACAGAATGGGTTTTAAGAATGGGAATACTGTAGAATCCTGTGTGTAAATCACATCATTTTGCCATATCACTTTTATTCTATTGATATTATTTTCCATAGCTTCTCAATGGTTTTTATTTGAGTTAAACTTTCTTTTATCTTCCCTTCATTTTCCTCCTTCCCATATAAGGGTCTTGTGTATCTCAGGCTGTCTTTCAATTTGCAGAGGCTAACGTTGAACTAATTCTTTCTCCACCTCCCAACTGTCAAAATGACAGTTATATACCACCATGTCCAGTATATGTAGTGCTGAGAACCAAACTCAGGGCCTTGAGTTTAACTTTCTTAGTAGCTGTTTTTGGTGTGTCCCAGGGTCCTGCACGCGTGCTGTTTCTTGAATATACAGCACACTCACATGAGGCTCACATTCACTCTGGAGTCTCCTAGATTGGCCCTGTGTTAACTTATGCTTTGTGCTTAACTGAAAGTGTTCTTTCTCTGTGCTGAAGTATTGGCTTTTCTATTCGACCCCAATGGGAATCAGTTCTGATACAGAGACATCAGTAGTTGTCACAGCTCTGTGGGTTCAGGTGGCCAGTCTTTCCAGGTCTCTTTCCTGTGAAATATAGTGCTAGGAAAAAAAGAAAACTATCACACACCTTAGCAATAGAAGTCTCTAGGTTCGAATCCAATCAGACTCAACAGCACATGTTCAAGAACTACTAAAAGAGGCAAGCAGTTTACTATAAACGTCTGACTCAGAGACAGTAACATGCTCACTCACTCACTCACTGTGTGCATCCTCAGCTGCATTCCAGACTAACCATTCATTACCATGCTTTTCATATTCATGCTGTGCTGCAGTAGAAACAACAGGTTTTGGGTTACAGTAATAAAACAGACACTTCTGCTTAAGTCTTTATTGTATGTGATGTAAGATTTTGAGTGGCCAGTAGATTGCTGTTTGTATACTCTGTCTACTTTTCAGTTAAGTATTGGGGAACTGAAGTAGCCAAAGAGTAGAGGACACAGTTCTATTCTTGTTTTCCTGATAATCCTCAGTGTGTGAGTTTAGTGCTCAGACTGTTTCTCTGTGCTGCTGCTTAGCTCTGCTATGAGGAGAAAGTCACCGTCCTCTGCCTCTCCATAAGAAACAAGAGGAAAGCCAGTTGCTGAAAGCTCTGTGTTCAGTTGGCGTTAATAATTCAAACAACTCAAATAAAAGGGAGGGAGGATTATAAAAAGAAGCCATACAATTGGGCAAAATGACGCTTCTGCTCCTTAAATTAGGTTTTAATATTTCTTGAGCCAAGGTATCATGTAGTCCAGCTTCACCTTGAGTTCTGCATGTAGCTAAGGATGACCTGGGTTCCTGCTCCTCCTGCCTCCATCTTCCAAGTGCTGTGGAAGACTCCACTATTGAGTGACAGTCAGGTCTCTGACTCAAGGCTCAGATACACAGGTCTAAATGGGGATGGTTATTCACCACGTGAAAAGTGATGAGTGATGGCTTTCTGCATCCTTTGTATTTGATGGAATTAAAATTTGATGTTCGTGTATAGGGCATGAATAATGCATTCCGTTTATCCCAACCTTTATCATTCATGATTTATGGTTTGTTGCTGGCTGAAATTTCTATATTTTTCATAAACTTGTAACCTATTAACAGGTATTTTAGTCTTAGTGGTCAGCATCTCATTTTTTCTCATTAAAAAAATTTAACAACTGAGATTCACAAATTTCTGAGGTTTGGGGCTTCTGCTGAATTTTGCCATTGTGGAGGTCAAATGCAAATACTGTGCTATAGGTGAGTGATTTGAGCCTCTGGGATTTGTGTGTGTGTGTGTGGGGGGGAATCCTGGGAACAAGTCCCAAGATATAGAGGGATGTGATTTCTTCTCTTTTTTTAATGCAAGAGATGGTATATTTGTAACTACTTATTTTAATGTTTTTTGCAATTCAAAATTTTCCATCATTGCTTATTTTTCTGTGGTGTTATTAACATCTATATTGATGCATTCATGTGGACTGACTAAATCATTTTGTCTTCACTGAGCTATAAGTAGTAGTAAGCTCAACAGGTATGTCTCCGTGCACAAAGTAAACTTCTGAAGAAAAAAAAACTGCAATTGATTTGTCAGTACTAAAATCTTGGCTGTGATTGTTGTTCCAATTTCCTCATGACAAAAATGAAACTGCAATCAGAAGATTCTATTCTTTGAATCTCTCTAAACTTCTCAACGTTCAGCCATGTCTTTTGTTGGCCTTTGGTCTCCCAGCTAACAGGAGTATCGGGATGTAGGGATATCCATTGATATATATATATGTAAATATGTACAGTGTGTCCTGATTTAGTGTCCATAGATTACTCACCCTTTGTGTGCCCACCTTGATGGAACACAAAGGTTCAGGCAGCCTTTTGTGGGGAGTCAAGGAAACCTTGAGTGAATATATAAAGATTAGATGAAGTGTCCCCAGTGAATGTGTATTGCTTGACATGGATACCACCATGTCAAAAGGACCCCAGTGTATCAGACCCATGAGAGTAGCAAAGCCTTCCCCCAGAGTAAAGCTC